ATCTTATATTGGCATTGTTTGCAGGAAATAACTGTATAATGATTAGCTTCCATCAGAAGTTTTTGCCAAACACTGCAGCAGCATTAGTAAAATAAATTAATTCAACCTCTGATTGGGGATTGTTTACTTTAAAAGTACGTTAGAAGAAAGTTTTTATCCACACATATTGCGATATTACATTTTCAAAACCATTGATTCACAGAAGAACTTCATGTTTATCCAAATCTAATTTAAATGTGAGATCTGCTTACTTTCAATACCAGATGGTGTTATCTTTATTTTGAAAATGACAATAATAGGTCATCATAAAGTTCCATGAAATACCTGTCTAATCATATATTTGCCAGAATAGAACATAAATCCAGAGCTCACATATCCCTGAATTTTCGCCTACACGTGATAAAAGTAGCACACATGATTTTTTATTTTTTTTTGTCAATGGCCCTGGCAGAGAAAATGTTGAAATGCCAAGGCCTACGCTTTAATTTTACAATAAGATAAAATCTCAAAGATTAGATGATTGTTAAATCTTTTGAGTAAGTGAGTGCATTAAGCTTTTTTTCAATATGTCTATATTTTCATTGAAATGTTATACTTTTAGCTCAAATAGCACATTTGAACCACATGGTGAACTGTTAAATTAATCACACTAAGGAATCCTGGAGTTTATATTTCTAGTATCATGGGATCAAAAGCATTAAATAGAGCCACACAAACTAAGCAGTATTCCCTTTAGCTTATTATCATGTAACACTCAACAAAAATGCACGAAATATATGTTTCTGGGTTACTGTTGTGTGTATGATTTAATTGCAACTGTTCTGCTCATCAATGTATTAATCATGCACAAAATTATATTTTGCCTAGTTAACATAAAATTTTGGAATAAAATGGTTTAATTGGGTTCAAAATCATGGTATGTGTGATTTTCTCTTTGTAAAATATAAAACAGATAGAAAGCATACTGACGATTAGCATGGATCAGTAGTAGTTTTTAGACAGTTTATACATCACTCATTTCCTCAATTCTGTCTTGTAACCTAGTGATAGCTTACACCCATTCCTCTCACTGCACTGAAATACTCTTTATCAGCTTTACTAAAATCATTCTTAATCATTACCATTCCATATCTTCTTTACTCGATTCTAGTTCTGCCTGTCTCCTTATAGCCATATTTACAAATAATATAACACATTTTTTGCTTCAATTCAATGTTAAATATAACACATTTTTTTATTCAACTCAATGTTAAATTCACATACTGTTTAACACATTTCACATCAGTGATTAGTGATCTGATGAATCTCTGATGTAGGACACTCAGGCAGATATATATATATATATATATATATATATAATGTTAAACAAAAATCTGGACACCAGTCAAGCCATAAGATTTGTTTTTCCCACAGAAATCACAAATGAAAAGCAATTCTTATGGCTTGACTGGTGTGCAGATTTTTGTTTAACATTGTTTTAACTATCCACAGACTTCAGGTGGAAGGGGTTTTTCAATCACTATTTTTTTCCCCACCATAACCTTTTTGTTATATATATATATATATATAAAACCAAGAGATCTTGACTCACCCAAGCATGCATACATTATAAGGGTGCTGCTGGGGCCAATTACTACAACATACAAGTTGCAGCACACTTACTCACTCACTAAACTTCAAAGCTCACAAAATGAAATATGTTTTAAAAAACACCTATCTTGATCATATAATTACAATATGTAATCATACATTGTATAAGCCAGCCACAACACCAATGTAGCCCATGAAATGAGTCACCTGTGGCAGAGAGTGGTGAAAAACCAAGGACATTGGCCTGGAGGACGTATAAATATATTTACATAGGAAACCAGGACATGTATACATTATAAGGGTGCTGCTGGGGCCAATTACTAAAACATACAAGATGCAGCACACTCACTTACTAAACACCAATAGTTTAAAAAAACTGTATATACTGTAACGAAATGTTTGTCAGTTGTTTTTACAAGAACCAAACAACTATTACATTTTGTGAACTTCAAAGTTGGTTTTTAGTGAGTGAGTGTGCTGGGTCTTGTATGTTATATTTAATTAAAAAATCCAAACTACTCTAGAACCAATTAAAGACCATATGTCTCTATTTTGCAGCAGAGACACAATTGTGCATAACAAAATGGATTCATTCTGATAATAGTGTAGATTCAATCTGATAATAGTTTTTATTTAACTGTACAAAAAGTAGCAAGTATACTGATAGATTTGGAGATATTTTAAGAACAATTAAATTAATGTCAGTTCTAGCTAGATGCATTGATCGTCGAAGCTAGTTACATGGTGACTGGCATACAAGCTCCTCATCTGGGATTCTTTTGCAATTCATGCAAGCAGCAAAGTATTAAACACAATAAAACATTATAAAAAAAGGACCATTTAAGCAAACTACAGAAATATATAGTTCTCTAAAATAACTTTTTCTACATTAGCACAAAAAAGCAAACAACAAAAACATTGCTTATTACTTTCTGTTGGCTGCTTCCCTTTATCAAACCATAACCATCACCCTTAATGTGCCACAATCTCATCCATATTGCACTAACATGATATTAATATTAGGTATATTAATTTCTAATATTTAGATATATTAGATAAATTATAAGAGAACATAATACTATATATTTCACACAGTATCACATCAATGCCCACTTAGAATAGTAACAGCAAAAAGAATTCTCTCTGTATTTTTATTATTATTATTATTATTATTATTATTATTATTATTATTAGTGCCATCCTATTCTGTAGCATGTATATACTATGAAAATATAATATTTATAATATAACAATAAATGAGACAACTACACATTTTTTACTAGAACAATAAATTGATGAGGAACCTGTTCGAAACAGCTTACAATCTAGGGGTTATATAAATTATAACGGAAACAGCACTATATCTAAAAGCAGTAATTCTGAACCTCTGTGTATAGACTCACTCACTGCTCTTTCTGAAAAATATCATTTAGGAATATTAAAAATTGAACAGTTAAACCAGATTCTTATTTTCGTCGTTTGATAGAAAGCCACACAGGAGCAAAGGCATTTAAAACTAAGGACTGAACACCTGGAATAATATAAAGTAACTCTATAACCATTGCCTTAAGGGCTCAATTGTGCAGCCTCTGATTTATGTTGTGTAGTTTTCTTTTTTTTTTTACTTGGGGAGCTCTACCTAAAATAATTAAGCTGTTTAATTGCATTTGGCTCAAAGATTAAGATGAATGTAAATGTTCCTAATTTAGGATTTGAAAGCATATTGTTTCCTAGATGTAAGTTGCAGTATTAAATGTGAATTACACAAGGAGTACATAAGGAGTTTAACTTTTCCATCTGACTAGCATCTGAAGTTGTTTCCTTCTCACTCCCACAATTCTTTGGGTTCCTCCCTTCAATAAACTGAATGTTGGCTACTTCTATGGGATAAATTGCAAACTTTGACCTCTTCCCTTTTTTTGGCAAAAGATCATTACTTTTGTATTATTTTGGAATGTCCCCCAAATGGGCCTCGTGAGGTGTAATTCTTTCTCTTTCCCAAACACAGTCTAGAAGGAGAATATTTTCAAAAAGCATGCATCCCTTTCTTAGCAACTTACTTGTATATATATGTAGAGTTTCCATTTGCAACATTTAAATATATTCCAGTATATCAACCATGTACTTGCAGTTTTGATGTTTAAAAACATATATCATTATATAAATTATTGATAATACATTAGTAGTGGATATCAAAATTGTATAATTGGGTAAACAGTGCCCGAAGTCTGACCACAATCTGCAAACTGCAGGCAGCTATGATATCTTGTAAGCAGGGCCGGACTGGGAGAAAAATTCAGCCCGGGCATTTTTTTAGCACAGCGGCCCACTAAGAAGGGGGCGGGGCAGAGAGGGTGTGTTTCGTCATCACCAAAGACAAACACGCCCCCTCTCGAAGTGAGCGTTGGGTCAATGCTCTTCCAGGGCAGAGCTCTGCTAAAGAGCTCTAGCATGAGAAGAAAAAAAAAACTGTATTTGTTCTGCACAGTGCAAGCAAATTTAATAACATGCTTGCACTGTGTTTCCTTGAAACTTGTCTCTGGTGTCTCTAAAAATGGATACCAGGAGACAAAAGGGCAAGGAAAGAGTATTGTGCATGTGTTTGGAGCCTGCTTTGGGATTGTGTGTGTACAGAGTGAGCTGGTCGTGGTTTGGTATTGTGTAATAAGGTTGGTTTTAGTCGTGTTGTGTTTGTGGTGTAATGTAATGCATATGTGGCTAGGAGCTGAAGAGAATGTGTGTATAGGGGATGTAGTAAATGTATGCACACAGGCTATAGTGTGTGTGTGTATATAGGTGATGTAGTGTTTGTAGGGGTTGTAGAGAGTGTGCGTTTAGGGGTGTAGCATGTGTTTGTTTACAAGGAATCTAGTGTGTGTGTATCAGGGATCCAAAGTGTGTATGTTAGGAATGTAGTGTGTGTAGGTGGTGCAGTGTGTGTGTGTGTGTATACAGGAGTCTAGTGTGTGTTTGAAGGACCCAGAATGTGTATGAGATCTAGTGAGTGTGTGTATATAACGGAATCAGAGTGTATATAGGGATTTAGTGTGTGTATATGATCCATAGTTGGGTAAGGGATATAGTGTGTGTCTGGAATGTAATATGTTTAGCGGTGCAGTATGTGTGTGAGCGGTTCAGTGTGTGTGAACGGTGCTGTGGTGTGTGTGTGTATATATATATATATATATATACATATATATATGTTTGGAAGTATTGTGTGTGTGTGTGTGTTTAGTGCAGTGTGTTGGGGTTCTGCGTGTATGTGTGAGGGGTGCAGTGGGTGTCTGTGAGGGGTGTAGTGTGTATGTGAAGGGTGCAGTATGTGTGTGTGATGGATGTTGTGTTTGAGGGGTGCTGTGTGTGAAGATGCTGTGTATGTTGTGTTTAAGGGTGCTGTATGTGGGTGCTGTGTTAAAGGGTGCAGTGTGTGTGATTTGTGTGTGTGTGTGATGTGTGTGAAAGTGCTGTGCTGTGTGTGAGTGTGCTGTGTGTGATGTGTGTGAGAGTGCTGAGTGTGAGAGTGCTGTGCTGTGTGTGAGAGTGCTGTGTGTGATGTGTAAGAGTGCTGTGTGTGAGAGTGCTGTGAGTGAGAGTGCTGTGTGTGCTGTGTGTGAGAGTGCTGTGCTGTGTGTGAGAGTGCAGTGTGTGTGAGTGCTGTGTGTGATGTGTGTGAGAGTGCTATGCTGTGTGTGAGAGTGCTGTGTGTGAGAGTGCTGTGTGTGCTTTGTGTGAGAGTGCTGTGCTGTGTGTGAGAGTGCAGTGTGTGTGAGTGCTGTGTGTGATGTGTGTGAGAGTGCTATGCTGTGTGTGAGAGTGCTGTGTGTGATGTGTGAGAGTGCTGTGTGTGAGAGTGCTGTGTGTGAGAGTGCTGTGTGTGAAAGTGCTGTGTGTGCTGTGTGTGAGAGTGCTGTGTGCGAGAGTGCTGTGTGTGAGAGTGCTGTGTGTGCTGTGTGTGAGAGTGCTGTGTGTGAGAGTGCTGTGTGAGTGCTGTGTGTGCTGTGTGTGAATGTTAAAAGTGATTGTGTGTTGGGAGGGTAAAAAAAAACAACAACAAAAATGCATTATATCTGCCCCCCCCCTTTACCTTTAGCCTGGGAGGGGTCCGGCACGGTGGTAGCTGGGAGGAGGGGGACCGGCACACTCACATCATCCCTGGTGGTCCAGTGGAGTTCACTCTCGCGAGATCCGGCGCGTTGCCATGGCAACGCTCCGGATCTCGCGAGAGAAACCCGGCGGAGCTGCAAGATAGAGCTCCGCCGGGTCCTCTCCCTCCCTCCCCAGCCGCAGGTCTGTTTAAATGGGCCGGTGAGGGTGATCTTTGATCTCCCCCCCGCCCTCCATGCAGCGGGGCCGGCGCTAGGATAGTGCCGGCCCTGCATAGACCGGCAGGGGATGTCCTGGGACCTCCCCTGCCGGCCTCGGCCCCACGGCCACCGCGGCCCACCGGGCATTTGCCCGGTGTGCCCGATGGCCAGTCCGGGCCTGCTTGTAAGTATACAGATTCACTACAAATAAACTTCAGCTGGTGAAGTTGATAACATAACAACATAATAGCAAATAGTCTGCTTACTCTGCTTCTGGAAGTGAATAAAGGTGTAAAGTACACATCATGCTGATATGTGAGTAAACCAAAAAAAAACAAAAGAAATGCACCTTATACACACACTTATATACAAGGATACTTATCCGTGGTAGGTAAATGCAGCCTCCCTCAGATTGCTCCCAGCTAGCAATCAACTTGAACACAAGAATATACAAAACACAACGAGGGAACCGGCTGATTGTCTAAATAAAGATAAACAAAAAGAGGTATAGTGTAATACAGTTTTACAACATTAACACTGCGCAATATGAAATGCACTCACAGGATCTTGGACAGTTCAGTCATATATGGTGCCACCCCTGATGATATGGGGGGCTGGGGGAATCCCCTGGACACTTCCACTCAAAATGCAGGATTCCGGGTGAAGGTATGAAAAAAGCAGCTTTAATTGTATAAAAATATAAAATAAATACAAATAGAGGTCCTACGCATTTTGTCCCTTCTATAGAGTATGGGACTTCCTCAGGGACCACAATATTAAAATAACAATCAATACAGTACAATCAAAAAAACAGCCTAACATCCCTCCACCCCCAAGTCCTTTAAATAGGGCTAATCCCCAAATGTAATTGATCACATGTGCCTCTCTGTCCTTCCTCATTGGTCCTGTGTAGATGAGTTTCATCTGTTGGAGATCTCATTCCCAGGTGTTCACAGTTGATCTCCATTATTTCTGTGATTCTCCGGTTATTTTCAGCACTTCCGTACGTTCCGGAAACCGGAAGTGCTATGCGTTCCAACTGTACTCGCTATGTGAGTAAAACAGGGAACTTGGTGCAACAATTCCTATAATTTTTTATTCAAAAAAAGGCTTATACTATCTCTTACGTCACAAGATTACAACACTTGATTTTCTGTTTTTATCATTTGTTTCATTCTAGCACATTTATAATTAAAAGTATGTCTATATACAATTTATATAAGCACTAATATGGAGGTACACTGACCTCTTTTTAATGAAAGTAAATTAGCTTTTCATTCTGTTAATTCTCTACCTTTGACAATAAATATTCAAATTTTGAATGCATACAGACTTTAAAAGTATTCATTAGATTTATTTCTATTAGCTATATCAGTACATACTACTCCACATGATGACATGAAAATGTAAAGAACAATAATGATAATTTATGTGAAATGAAACTGGAAAATTAGTGATACAATGTTAAATTCACATATTAGATCTATTTTTAATATATACAGTTGCAGGAGCATACCTAGAGCATTTGGAACCTTTTGGCACCCCCTCCTAACTCCTCCCCACAACTTTAAATGTAAAAAACAACCAACATTTTTTTTAAATGTATTTAGCACTGAGCAGTGTTTGTGTGTTTGAATGTAAGCATGTTTTTGAATGGAGTATGTGTGAGTGAATGTAGCGGCGTGTTTGTATGTATTGTTAGCGTTTGAATGCAAGTATGCATTTGTTGTGTGGTATTTGAATACAATGGTATGGTTATATTTAATGGTGGGGTTTGTATGTTGTGTTGACGTTGAAATGCATGAGTGTATTTGTGTGTAGTGTTGGCAAGATTATGAGATGTATACACATATACGCACCCGTATACACACACACTGGCACACATGCAGATACACAGACACACAGTCACACACAGATACATATTGACACAGGTGCAGACATAGTGGCAAATCTAGGAACAATATATAGGGGGCCACATAAGATACCACAGTCAAAATGGGGGGAAGGGGGGTGAGCACTAAAACATTTCACTAGGCGATGGGGTAATGTGCTGCCATTGGCTGTCTGATGCCAGCATGCTGTGCTCTGCAGGCTGGCATCTGACAACACATTTGCATAGAATTCACATTAGCCACCCAGATTTATTGTTGTGGGCTGACTGACACCTCTTAACTTCGATCTTTGTTTAGCAGATAACTCCCCTATTTGCTATCCTTATGCGGGATTGCCATATTTAAGGATGCCAAATAAGGAGCTATCTGCTAAACAGCACCCTCATTTGGTATCTTTAAATATGGAAATCTCACATAAGGGCACCAATTTAGGGAATTATCTACTAAACAGCTAAAAGATCAAAATTAAAAACGCACTTTTCTTATTTTCACTGGTTTAGTAGATACATCTCTTATTTGTTATCCTTATGTGGGATTGCAAAATTTAAAGACACCGAATAAGGGAGCTATCTATTAAACACATACACATTTATATACACATAATAACAAAACAGATGTATGTCTGTGGTTGTGTGTGTGTGTGTGTGTGTGTCTGCTCTTATGAGATTAACCTACTTGGGGAAAAAAATTCCATCAGGGGCTCTCTGCAGTACAAGGCTAACCCCCTCTTGTTTTATATATATATATATATATATATATATATATTTGTGGTCGTGGCAATATAGCCGTATATGGAAACAAAGCATATAATAACATGAATATCAATTAGTTGGAATTAGTCGGTTGTGGTGTGCCGAAACCGACAGAGGAGTAGGCCTGTAAAAAGTGGGCCCACCTTCGAGGGTGTTTGTAATAGAGGGAGTGGTGGGTGGGGTGACTCGCCAGACCATTAACGGTAATGTGAGAGTGGATTGGTAGCCCTTTTATAGGGAAACCAAGCCCCTCCCACAACTACAGGCCAAGCCTTTTAATTTGTGGTCGTGGCAATATAGCCGTATATGGAAACATAGCATATAATAACATGAATATCAATTAGTTGGAATTAGTCGGTTGTGGTGTGCCGAAACCGACAGAGGAGTAGGCCTGTAAAAAGTGGGCAAAAATAAATTACCATAAGACATAATACGTTGACCAAAATCTTTATTTAGATAAGTCACAGAAAGCTAGTCTTAATTCTTTAACAGGATTGGGTATGTAGAGAGTATAAGCAGAAGATTTCCAGTGTCCCATTGTTTTGATGATGTGCGGAGGTATGTGGTTAGCAGAGGCTGTAGATGCTGCCCCGATTCGAAAAGAATGACCCGAAAATTGACTAGGGTTCAAGCCGAGTCTAGTCAACAGCAGTCTTACATAGAGCATAAACTTTGCTGTAGTTAGAACGTTACCGTGCAGTTCTAGCAAAGGTTGTAATGGTTGTTTGTGGAGTGATAGCAGATAATTGTCAAAAGTTTGTACCGGGCACCATTTGTTATGAGTAGGGTGCAAGGGGATCGTAACGGTGTGACCTATGGTGCTGGTTTTTGAGTGTTTTAGCATGAGTAGGTAATGGTCATTCTGTTTCGCTAAGTCCATGGTTCTTAGGTAATCGGGGGTCGTGATAGTCCTAGTTGTGAATTCGTTTGGACTGAGGAATCCATAAAAAGCAAGATATATGGCTGACTTTATTACCGTGTTTGTCCTGGGCTCAAAAGGAGAGGAATCTAACAAGTTGACTAGGGCATGAAATATATGGTTATCTATAGGCAGTCGTTTCCCGGGGACATGTGTATCTAATTTCTTAATGCCTCTAAGAACTGTCTTGATTTGATATGAGGACAGGAAACTCGTGGCGTTGGGTTGTTGAATAAGCATCTGGTGTTGAATTCCCGTGAGGTATAGTTTTATAGTGTTAAATGATAGTTTAAGGTTGATGTGGCAAAAAGAAGTGAAACCCAATATTGATTCTATCGTGAACATATCGTGAATGTGAAAATCAGTGATGAATTTTTTGAATATGTGAAATGCTCTGTCGTAAGTGTTTCTAGTGTTTACAGAAAGTGCCAGGTGAGATATGTGACGTGCGTGATTTAACAAAGCTTTTAATCCATTATCATGTCTGTGAAAAGTGGGGCTGGAGTTGCCCGTCTGGAGGCAGTGGGTAGTGTCGTGAAGAATTCCTGAAAACGAAATCGAGATAAGTGATCAGCACCGATGTTTGTGCACCCTGGAACATGAATACATGTTAGAAAGAATTGACAAGTGGCTACTACCCATGTGAGTCATCTCAAGAGCCTCATAATTACCAGGGATGATGACCGGCCTTTATTGGAAATATGGCAAGTAGCCATATTATCAGAATAGCACCAAACCGTGTGACCGGACCACTGGCGGCCCCAGGTAACGGCCGCAGCCACGATGGGGTACAATTCGAATAAAGCTGAGGTCTCTGTGAATTTTGTGAGTGATTTGACCTCAGTTGGCCATGGCCCCCCGAGCCATTGGTCTCCCCATATGGCTGCAAACCCTGTGTTTGCTGCAGCGTCTGTCCATATTGTAGGTGAAGTGTCTGAGTGAGATGGTATAAACATGGTACGCCCATTCCAAGAAGTGAGGAAAATTCTCCACATGCGCAAATCGGATGTTGCATGGTTGACTAGTGAAATGTAAGATGTGTCTGAGGTAAATTGTGGAAATAGTGATAGCAAATGTGAAATAAATTATCTCCCCTGGGGAATGATTCTCATTGCAAAATTAAGCGATCCCAGCAATGATTGTAGGTCTTTTTTAGTGCAACAATCTTGCTGTAGGTAGTGGTCAATACTTGCCAGGATACGCTCAATTTTCTCATGAGGGAGGCTAGCCTGCATGTGTACTGTGTCTAGTTGTATCCCCAAAAAATTGCATCTGGGTGTCGGGCCCCAGGGTCTTGTGTGGGGAGACTGGGACAGAAAGTGACTCAAATAATGCCAACATGTGTTTTAAACTTGTGGGTGGACGTGTGTTGTTCTCAATTGTGAGGAAATCGTCTAAATAGTGAATCACTGAGGGACATTTGCATACATTTAGCAACAACCAACATAAAGCCTCTGCAAATGTGTCGAAAATACGCGGGCTGCTTTTAGAGCCAAAAGTGAGACGGGTGAAGAAATAGTATAACCCTTCCCATTTAATGCCGTGAAGGTGCCAAAGTGTAGGGTGCATAGGAAGTAATTTGAAGGCATTCACTACATCCGTTTTACTTAACCATGCCCCTGTGCCAGCTTTTATGATAGCCCCGATGGCATGGTCGATAGTGGCGTAATGTAGTGAAAACTCTTCAGATGGTATGAGGGAATTTAGGCTAGGGACCGTGGAGGAATGTGGTGCGGATAAATCAATGATCAGCCTGGGTTTAAGTGAGTTTTTCCCCGTGACAATCCCAATGGGATTGGTTCTCCAAGAAGTGAAGGGTGGTGAGAGGAAAGGACCCAGCAAAAAGCCTTGTTTCACCTCGGTTGTGATAAGTTTATGTACCAGCTGTGGATCATCTCGTGTGGAAAGTAAGTTGTCACATTCCAGTGTGCCTGTAGGTAAATGTATCAACCCTGTGTGAAATCCCTCCGATAATCCTGTTATGAGATAGTCACTGAAATGTCGTGATGGGTGTAGACGTAGCAAATCGGTGAATAAGCTGAGGTTCACGCATGTGAGATAGGGTTTTGGGAAAGCTTTATTTGGGCACATTGTCTTGGAATGAGCCCTAAAACAGTGTGAACAAACATGCATTAGTCTACAAGAACTAAAACCACAATTGCCAGCATTAAAATTGTTACATACTTGGGATTTCCCTAAGAAGACAATATCTCTTCCTAGTTTGTCTTTCAAACCTTTATTTGATCTTGGGGGGTTAGTTGCTGCTTGGTTTTGTTCTACCTCAGCTGTATTAGGGCAGAAATTTGTGCTGTGGGTTGCTGACGAGCATACTGCACAAGTTGGGGGCCTGAGGCCTGCAAAGTGCCTACAGAATAGCTCAGTGTCCAACTTGCTCCAATTGATGCTTAAGTTGAACTGAACCAGAGCTGTGGCCACCTTTGCAGAGAAGGAACGGTGGTAATCGTTAAAACGCTGTACCACCGTATTTGTGTCCCAGATCCACCAACTTGTGCATGTACATATCCAGCTCGGCTCTTTTCCATGGGTATACAGTGCAATATACATCCCTATAGATGCCAAACCCTAATACAAATTCTGGGATGTTCAATTTTTTGTTCAGGCGAGGGTCTCTAGCTTTAAGGACTACAGAAATACCCCCACAAGCAAAGGTCCTGTTCTCAAGGACATCCTGGGAGGCAATGAGCAATGGTTAACGTCCTTGCCTTCCAGAATGTCCTTTTTAAGGTGAGCTGGGACCATGTGTGAAGGATCAATAGATTCTATATCAGCCGTAGCTGACAGGGTATTACCGGGTAAGGTATTAGCAAGAGGCTGAGTGGTGACCGTTGTATTTGTCGTGGACTGAGTAACACTACCGACCTCCAATTTGTCCAGCCTGTCGCTGATTGTCCCCATGGATGCCATAAGGGATGTCATCATAGCATGAAATGCTGGTACTTGAGACCCGCTAGGGCCTTCCCCTTCCTCGGAGTTGTCAGTGGTAGTGTACAGTAGCCTATACAACTCCGCCTTCCTGCTGTAAGACGTGGTATGGTCCACGATCTAAGGGATGCAGGGCTATTCATGTCTGTACCCGGACCAGGGGTGGCAGGCCTAGCGGGTGTGCTAGCTAGTGATAGTTCTTCAGGGATATCTGGCGTTAGTGACATAACTGAAATTATAAATATATATAGTCAGTCGTATAAAATGTTTTTTGTGGGTGGGTACTGGTGGGCTAGCTAAATACCAAGCGGTGAAACAATTAAGCTTCTTTTGAGCGTGACAGATGAGACCCTGCTAGTTGCCAAGCGGCTTGAGAGGCACTATCTATGCGTGGGCCCGAGGGGAAGATTGAGGCCACCGAACGTTGTGGCGGGGTGTAGGCCTCTCGGTGTCATTTAAAGCATAAGAAGGTGAGGCCCTCTCTTTGCATTGATGCGAGGCGGCTAGCTATGATTTGGCCCGACGGACGTATTACCTCCGAGTGTGAGGTTAGGGATGTTGGCCTCGCGGGACCACTAGCCTATGGATTAAGACCAGAAAATATTTTATCTAATTGGGCCACCTAACCTAGGACCAGTACCCCTCAAATATTTTTAGGAAATAGTGGGTTCTGGCGTAGTACCTGAAAAGTGAGTCAGGCTGATCTCTCAATGAAGTAACTGTGATATTGTCGGGTAGTTGACCTGTGGATATAAGATGATATATAAATATCTGAAAATGGGGTAGTAGTTAGGCCAGATCGTGGACCTTAGAACCAGAACCTACCCGATAACTGCGGAGGAGATATAACCAAGAGAAATAGGCTTCTTGCTTGTAAAAAGCTACCGTTCCAATGACTAAACCTAGGAGAGTAAATTATATATTTTACCTAATATCATATGTTTATATGGTCATTTATATGAATCATATGACAATGTTACCAACCTATAAAGTATAAATGATACCGATCTCAGGGTCCCCAAATATTAATATGAATTCTGGTAAGGAAACCTGTTGGAAGATGTCAGAAATCAGGATTCTAATTAAGTGTAGCATAAATTTAATTTTTATGGTGTAATATCATTATTGACCGGTAGGGGGCGAGATTCCACCTAAGAAGTGGATGCAGGATCGTGTATAATTAGTGAGTAAAGCGCAAATTTAACTAGAGTGTGATTACAGTACACAATGAATACGTTTTGTTTGGTAGAAAAATCCTAAGTATATGGCCGAATGCAGCGTTCGTTTAAATGTTAAATGACATGGATTACATTGCTTAGCGCCGGAGTGATTCAAACGAAAGAAGTACCAAATGCGGTTGAATGCGAATGGGGCTCCGCCGTGTAAGCCGTGAATATGAAGCGGTCTGCTTTACGGCGGGCCCAACTTACGGTTTTTGGCGGCAGCAAGTACCGGAAAAGGTGTGCAGACAGCGGCGGTGGCGGGAAAAAGAGCACTGGAGAGCCTGGACAACTCAGGAGGGCACCGGACCAGGAGACCACGAGGAACAGGTAAGAGGAATCCAAGATGGCGGTCTGAACCGGAAGTAACGTTTCAGACTCGCCAGACCATTAACGGTAATGTGAGAGTGGATTGGTAGCCCTTTTATAGGGAAACCAAGCCCCTCCCACAACTACAGGCCAAGCCTTTTAATATATATACACACAATCACAGACCTACACACACAATCACATACATAAACACACGTAATCACAACACACACTTAACCACAGAGATACACACATAATCACAGATATACACAAACACAATCACAGACCCACACACATACAATCACAGCCACACAATCACATACACACACAAACATTAAATAATACACATATTTAATAATTAAGAGGTCCACCCAGCCTTCCTACCTTGCTCTAGAAAGGCTGGAGTGGATTCTCAGTCCCTGGTGGTCACTGATTGCTGCTGGGATCTCTGTCCTCTTCCTGCACAGGTCCCTCGCGTGCCCTGTAATGATGCCGAGGCCGCGATGACACCGGCTGCCGGCTCACTGCAGGGCGAAGACCGTCAGACACAGTCAGATGCACACAGTCCCACACACATAGTCACTCGCACACAGTCACACAGTTACAGGCAGACAGTCACGCATAAAGTCACAGGCAGACAGTCACACACACACACACACACAATCACAGACAGTCACACGCAGTCACAGACAGCTACACAGACAATCACAGGCTGACAGTCACACACACAGTCACAGACAGTCATACAGACAATCACAGGCAGACAGTCACACACACGCAGTCAAAGACAGTGACACAGACAGACACAATCACAATTACAAACAGCGCATACTCTCTCTCACTTACAGTCAGCTTGGGCTGGAGGAGGAGTGAATTCAGTGAGTCCCTGGTGTGTTGGAGTTGGGGAAGCAAGGACTTCTTCCTGCTTCCTTTCTGTGTGCAGCAGTAAGAGGCTGCCTTTAGCTCCACCCCTACATCTGACTTGGCTCCACCCACTGATTAATCTGGCTCTGCCCCCAACTCTCTATGCAGGTCCCCTGCTCCTGCTTCCAGCCCCTGTGTGTGTGAGCTGTGTCGGCTGCCTGGCGCCCCTAGTGCTCTTAGGCAGCAGCAGCCACACAGCTCACAGAATCCCAAGCCTTGCCAGCCCTGGTGGCCTCCCCCTACCTGGTAGCACCCGGGGTGGACCGCCCTCCCCTACTCTTCACCTCCCACCCCCCTTAGTACGTCACTGTACAGTTGTGCTCAAAAGGTTGCATACCCTGGCAGCAATTGTGAAATTGCTTCTGAAAATACGACTGACCATGCAAAAAGCTTAATTTAAGGATAGTGATCATATGAAGCCATTTTTATCACATAGTTGTTTGGCTCATTTTTAAATCATGATGATAACAGAAATCACCCAAATGGCCCTGATCTAAAGTTTACATACCCTTGAATGTTTGGCTTTGTTACAGACACACAAGGTGACACACACAGGTTAAAATAGCAATCAAAGGTTACTTTCCCACACCTGTGGTTTTTTAAATTGCAATTAGTGTCTTCGTATAAATAGTCAATGAGTTTGTTAGCGCTCATGTGGATGCACTGAGCAGGATAGATACTGAGCCATGGGGAGCAGAAAAGAACTGTCAAAAGACCTTCGTAAGAAGGTAATGGAATTCTATAAAGATGGAAAAGGATATAAAAAGATATCATAGCCTTAAAAATGTCCGTCAATACTGTACAATCACTTATTAAGAAGTGGAAAATTCGGGGATCTCTTGATACCAAACTAAAGTCAGGTAGACCAAGAAAAAAAAAGACATAGTGGTTGTTTCAAGGAGCACAATACAACAATACTTAAACAAACATGAGCTGCATGATCAAGTTGCCAGAAGGAAGCCTTCATTGCGCTAATGCCACAAAAAAGTAAGGCTTACTGGCCTATAGTTGCCTGACTCCTCCCTACTGCCTTTCTTGTGAATAGGCACAACATTCGCTAACTTTCAAACTTAAGTATACCACTAAGCTTTTTTAATAGCTTTGGGTGTATTCCATCAGGCCCCATTGACTTTTGACAGCAGAAGTATAAACCTCTTCCTCTGTAAACTTACATATAACAAATTATGTCTTTGCCTTTTTGCTAACTGAGGTTCCTTTCCTTTTTTTTAATCTGTAACCACTGAACAAAAATATGAATTAAGGCATTTAGCTAGCCCTATGTCATCTTCTACAGACCTTCCTTCTTTTGTTTTTAATCTAACTAATCCTTGTTTTTCTTTCCTTTTCTCATTTATGTATCTGAAAAATGTTTTATCCCCCCTTTTTTTTTTACTGACTATGCTATTTTCTTTTCTGTGTGTGATTAGGAAGCTTGTATAACTTGCTTAGCCTCTTTCTGCCTAATTTTATAGATCTGTCTATTTTCCTCACTCTGGGTTTTTTCACAATTACTAAATGCTAACTTTTAGTTTTTTAATAATTTGGCCACTCCTGCAAAGTACCACAGTGTGTTAATTTTTTTTTCCTTTTCCTGACAAGCCTACTGCAATTTCTGTTTCCTTCAGTAGTGCAACTTTTAAATAATCCCATTTCTTTTGGACTCCATTTAAACTTCCCCAGTATTACATAAATCCTAATTTTTGAAAAGTCTGTTTTTCTAAAGTCTAAAATTCTAAACTTTCACCTACAGTAATATCTGATACCAAATCTCAATTTGTTAACACTAAATCTAGTATGGCCTCCTTACGAGTTGGCTCCTCAATGACTTGTTTTAGAGACAATTCCAGTAGGGAGTTTAAAATATGTGTGCTCCTGGCACAAGCAGCTGTTTTAGTTTATTAGCCAAGCTAGTAACCACAACCCTTGTATAACACCTAAAAGCACCACCCACTAGGAATGTTTAACACCTGGGTGGGCCTATGCTTATTTGCAAACGATAGCTAATTAACCAACAATAACCACCTAGTTAATCAAATCAAATGCCTTACCAATTACCAACAGGAAATCAAACCTTGTGCAATCAGTAATCATTTCCTATAGATGAATCTTACCTGTAACAGTAAAAAGAAAAATCTTAGATAGTTGAAGAATCAGTAAAACTCTCATGAATATCTCCAAGCACACACTTTGAAGCAGCACTTAGAAGCAGCAACCAAGCTGTATTCACCTTGCTTCATTGAGCTTCTGGCTAAGATATCTCTACTGAGACAGAGAGGGGTATTTTTCTAAACCCCTACATGCTCATTAACCCTTAATTGGGAACAAATGGGGTGGGCGGCAGCAATGTAACATAGCTATGTGATTCAAAAATGAATACAAATACACAAAAATAAGTCCTGTGCTCAAACCCCCATTACTCTTAGGCAGGAGCAACAACCACAGTACACATCAGCCCCAATACATACAGTAAAAACCAAAAGAAAAAAAGTATATATTGCACAGAGGCAAAACTAGAAATCACTGCATTGCGGTGCAAAAATTGCCCTGCCCCCAAGCGTCTAATCCTCCCCAGCCCCTCCATGTATCTCATACACCCCTCTTTGCTCCCCCCCATGTGCCTCATCTCCCCAACCCCCCAATATGTGTCATTCCCTCCATCCCAGTAAGTAGTGTATGTTTCTGTGTGTGTGTAAAGGATGCATTGTGTGTTTCTATGTGTGTAAGGGATGCATTGTGTGTGTGTGTGTGTGTGTGTGTAAGGGATACATATTGTGTGTGTGTGTGTGTGTGTGTAGGGATGCATTCTGTGTATCTGTGTGTGTAAGGGATGCATTGTGTGTGTCTGTGTGTCTCTGTGTGTAAGGGATGCATATTGTGTGTGTGTGTGTGTGTGTGTGTGTAGGGATGCATTGTGTGTATGTGTGCAGGGATGCCATGTGTGTGTGTAGGGATGCATTTTGTGTGTGTGTGTGTGTGTGTGTGTGTAGTAGGGATGCATTGTGTGTGTGTGTGTGTGTGTGTGTGGGTGGGATACATATTGTGTGTGTGCAAGGAATACATATTGTGTGTGTGTGTGTGTGTGTGTGTGTGTATGTGTGTGTGTAGGGATGCATTCTGTGTATCTGTGTGTGTAAGGGATGCATTGTGTGTGTCTGTGTGTCTCTGTGTGTAAGGGATGCATATTGTGTGTGTGTGTGTGTATGTAGGGATGCATTGTGTGTATGTGTGCAGGGATGCCATATGTGTGTGTAGGGATGCATTGTGTGTGTGTGTGTGTGTGTGTAGGGATGCAGTATGCAGCGTGCAGGGATGCAGTGTGTGTGTGTGTATGTGTAGGGATGCAGTATGTGTGTGTGTGTGTATAGTGATGTAGTGTGTGTGTAGGAAGGCAGTGTGTGTGTGTTTGTGTGTGTATAGGGATGGAGAGTGTGTTTGTGTGTGTGTGTAGGGATGCAGTGTGTGTGTGTAGGGATGCATTGTGTGTGTGTTTAGGGATGTGTTGTGTGTGTGAGAGTGTGTTTGCTGGGTAGGATAGGGGTTGTGAGGGCTAAAAAGGAAGCATCTTTTTTAAAAATAATTATTTAAAAAAAAATATATATATATATATTTAGTATATCTCCCCCACCCTGTGTCCTGCTAGCATTCAGGGAGGGGGCAACATATTCCCTGGTGGTTCAGTGGTGCTGCAGAGGCTTTCAGCCTTCACCTCTGCCTTCACCTCTTGTGTGCAAGTCCCAGCACCACGTGTAATTGAGCGTTGCCGTGGTTACAGCGACAAAGCTCGGAAAGCTGGGACTCAGCGCGGAGGTGAAGGCAAAGAGCCTTCCTGCTGTGTAAACTCTGCA